TAGGCAAAGAAACAACCAAGATCAATCTATGAACTGAAACTTACATCTAGACATTCCTCGCTAAGTAGTAGCTCTTGTCCCCCTTCATAGCTCTGATTTCCAACATATGACCAGCATCTGTAGAAGAAGGTATATGTTTAGAATTGCGGATCCAGCCATCTTGAGAATGATTGGGGACAGGGAGGTCGTAGTAGGGGCCCTAGTCCACCCCAAAAGCTGATTCAATAAATCAAAAAAGTGTTTTAAATACTATACTTATATTTTTAGCTTAAATTGATGTTTCAAAGAAAATGTGAAAAATTTAATTTGTTTCCTCGACTTGAGTTTGTCTACTCTTCATCAAATTTTATATGTACTTCAAAATAAATTGTCTTAAAATTAAAATTGTATTAACGAGATGGTTCTGAACCATAAATATATAATATTCCCAATAATATGAGATGTAAAAGAATGACAACTATTTTTATTTGTCTGTATTAAAATGATTAATACACTCTATCCTTTACTGATTGCAACATGAACTTTTCTGCAATATTTGTAAAATATTTGCTTTGCGGCCCTGATTTGATTGCAAGTCACCAAGCTACGTCAAAACCCAGTACCACAGGTTTTAAAGTACAGGTAGGCATCGGCGCAATGAAGAGCCTCACTGCACAATAGTCTTAATAAACACGTGTAAGTGCTGGTAATGACCTTGAGTGTCAAATAAACCTTTAATTGAAGCTATGAACAGTCACTACGTAAAATTCTAGAAAATTCTAAAATAAGTGATAAACAGCAAACACTCAATTCATTATTTCGTACATTTCTAAGATATACATTTGCATTTGATTAACAAAGTGATATTTACAATATGACCTTCATGTCTTTAAAAACCTTATTCATAAAAGAAACATAAGGATATAAGGAGCAGTACTCAAGATAAAAAGGCGGAAAATGCATACAAAATATGAGCAGAGCAAACATGTACCTCGTTCGCTCTCTTCGTTCACAGTATTGCGTTCACCGTTCACCGTGCGCTCGCGTTCACCATTCACAAAACGTTCACCGTTCGCTCTTCGTTCAGTTAATTTGCATTCACCTTGCGTTCACCGTTCACTTCTCGTTCAGTCTTCATTGTCATTCGGAACTCCGAAGTGAAAGGACTTATCTTTTTGATGGTAAGGATTTACATGTTTTTTTTAATTAAATAACTTAGATATCGTGTTTGAAGAATAATTATTTCATTGCAAAAATTATATATGATATATATATTTCTATTATTATAACTCAGCTGTTACTTATGTCATGAAATTTCCCTGGAAAATAATACATTAAGTACCTACATGTATGTAGAACGATGCTAAAATATTAACTTTAGAAAAGGACAATGTACAAATGCTTCACGCACGGCATCAATTTGTTGTAATTTTAAAGAGGACAAATTAACAATGGGTGAATAATAATTAATCTAAGTCTTTTACAGGACAAGAATACATAAAAAAATATATATATTTCTAGGTTTGAGAATTATGAACAGTAATACAAATATTCAGTTAATTTAATATCTTTAGAGCTAATTAAATTGATGGTGTGGTTTTAAATTATAGAAAAGACCAACTGTTTAAAATAGTCTATTATTAGAGAAGGAAAATTCCTTCCTTCACCGTACCTAAACATATGTTTAAATATATGTTTGCCATTCAGTATAATTAAGACCCCCCCCAGTGCCTTTTCTCCCGAAATAAAATTCTTATTAAGTTTTTTCAGTAAATTTTAATTAATATTTAATTTGTATTGTAACACAAGAAAATCAGTCTTAAAACCAACATCAAACAGTCATTAAACAATAGTATTTTAGAATAAACTTGTGCCGACAGTAGTATTTTAAATTATCAGGGAATATGTTATAAATTCACTTTAAAACTTAATCCTTCCAAGTATATATTCCAATTATTTATTTTTTTTTCTGCAGGAATGCAAAAATCAGATCTAGAAATGATAGGAAAAAATATTAAAACTTCTTGGAATACTAAGTGACTCTTTGCCTTCAGCATGTTCGTTGAAACGCGATTTCCACACCTCCACTGTGTCGAATTATTTTGATTGACAGGACAAACACGCTACTAGCACGGACTTCCTGTGCACTGTGTGAACTTGATGATGGAAAATATTACTGTCAAATGGATTTGTTAATCTAAAATAAAAAATTACCTTTAATACTTGGAATATTTAGGAAAAATAATAAGAATTTTTATTTGATACAACAGATATCTGAGAATTGAGGGAGTTATCTCTCTCTCTCTCTCTCTCTCTGTTCAATAAAAACTATGACAGCACATTTAATACTTATTTAGTTTTGAAAATTTAATCCATTACAAATAATTTGAATGCCTATTTCCAACATCTTGACCGAGTATAATCACGGCCGGGAAATGTTTACAGATACATGAAGAAGTTAGCTAAAATAATCGTCATAAAAGAATACAAAAGGCACAATAATATAGAATATTTTGCATTAGAATAAATAAAACGAGAGATTTTATGCAGTACGATAACAGTCAATGTCAACAGATAATTGTCAATTTAAAAAAAAAATCCGTTGTTTTACTCAGAATCGCTTTGGCACGGAAATACAGGTATGGTTGTTTCAACCGCGTACAATGTAATAAATTCATTCTATAAGTAGTAGTTTTATCGTCAGAAGTCCACATTATTTTATTAGTGAAAAGAATAAGCATATCTACTATATAAATAGATTAATTTTATATTTAATCTACACGCGTTCGGAAACAAATACACATGTTTTACGGCAAATAAAATCGTGTTAAAAAATATCGATTTGAAACATAGGTACATATATGTACAGAACAAAAAATGTTTTTATTATTTATTTATTTATTTATTTATTTATTTATTTATCTATCTATCTATTGTTTATTTATATCTAAGCACCTGAAATTAGAATTAAAGAATAATAGAATAATCTCAATCCAAGGAAAACATCGCAGGCATTCCGAATAAAGCGTTTTATCTTGCGTTCACCGTTCGTTCACCATTCACTTTGCGCTCGCGTTCGCGCTCCGTTCGCGTTCTGCGTTGACTCACCGTTCACACATCGTTCACCAAGTTGCGTTCAGCGTTCGCACATCGTTCACCCACCGTTCGCTCTGCGTTCGTTCACCGTTCGTTCAGCGTTCGTTCACCGTTCAGGTGGGAAAGTAGAACGTTTCAGGGACTGTATGTGGGGTAGGAATCCCTTGCCGACCGGTGACGACCGCCCCGTGCTCATAGTAATGATCAAGAAATAACAGAAAAAATCTGTTTATAACTAATGAACTAAGAATTAGTATTGAGGATGTTCGTCAACATTTGACTCAATTCTAGATTGTATTTGGTGAAAATGTCATTGTATCGACCACAGAACTAACGAAAATATTACCTTTATCAAGATTGCTGATATTCTTGATTCATCAACATTTTTGTCAACAATTTACCTTGTTTTACAAATTGTTCATGTGCAGATCATACAAAAACAGTCAATCAATTTTTCGTTCATTTCTAAGATATATGACTTATGTGTATTTGTTTAAAAAAGTGATATGTATAATACGACGTGCATATCTTAAAATACTATATTCATACTTTCTCTTGCATTGTATTCATTAAATAAGTAAAAAAGAAGAATTCCGGTGATGAACAAAACGAAATATCATACCCGTCATCTTTATATTTATATCCAATAAATTTGATGAAATATTTATCCTCATTTGTCTTGAGTCTCCATTTCACACATGTAGTTTGAGAGATATTATAAGCTGTTTTCTGGATGATATCGACAGCCTTGCTTAACCTAGGACCTTAAAAGAAATAAAATAAACGTCTGAGAACAAAAATGGCCTGCAGGCAAACTAGTTATTGTTCTTGGTCGATTAAAAACATACAAGGCAATAAATCACTTGTAAAGTCACATTTACTGAAGAAAAAATTGCCATTTAACCCCATTTTCTATTCAAAAAGCTTGAAGAGCTAAGGAGGTTTTTTTTATTAATAGAAATAATTAACAAAGGCATAACGGGCATCACGTGATTGTCATGTGACTGTTTTAAAAGGTTCATCTATATGTTATTTTGAATGTTCATACAGAACATTTTATACTGTGGAATCATTTTATCGTGGGGGTTAATGTTAATTTATTCTGTTTGTGGGGACATAATTTCGTCGGTAACTCTTGAATAGAATGGTTCAAGGAATCAATAAATTAAAATACTTCGTGGATAAGGACAAATAAATCCATGAACATAATTGTTAACACATTATCATCTACACTTATGCTACAAATCTTATCTGTATATAAATCGCCCCTTCTTAATTAACCCCCTGCTGATCGTAATGACCTGTGTATTGACTCCTGATCTTAAGGATCTTGTAATGTGCTCCTGATCGTCAGGAACGGATCTTGAGTATATATATAGTCTCAACACGAACAATAAGGATTCTACAGTATTTTCAGTGTATAATATAAAAACATCTTTACCAAACGATTTCGTATCAATATCATATGGAATGATATTGTTTTTCCACAAAGGATTCCTTGAGATTCCGAAATTTCTTTTCTCATGTGCTGCAACCTGATAAAATAGTAAATAAACAATTTTAGCTTGTTAGTGTAATATGTAAATAGTAGATAAAAGGCAGAGAATAAGATTTGTGTTCAATGAAGCACATTAAATGATTGATTTTATCATGTTTATTTAAATGAAATACTGTGTTTGAATTCCTTTTTAAGATCTCTCTAATGTTAATTCTGGAAATCATTAGGAAGGCAAATCTTCCAAAAGATTTACTCTTCATGAAGTATAGCTAAACAGAAACTAATGAATTTTTTTATTTTGCTTCTTAAAAGCACTATTTTTCAACATATCTGTTAATAAAGAAAGCAATAGTCAAGAAATATTACTTATCAGAAAAGCTTTGTATATCAAATGGATTTTCGCTTAGCAACAAATACCAGTGCTAAACATGTTGCCCAGTCCATCAAGTATATAGTTGTCTGGCGGTTTAAGTTCATACCTCTTTTTTTTAAAGAAAAATCATTATTCGAAAAAGAAATTGAGTTGATTCATAAAGAGCACAGTCTCTTGCTTGGAGAAGTGGTTAGAGAATCTGCTCTAGAGTCGCCAGGTAAGTAGTTGATCCTTACATCGCAGGTTCGATCCCAACTGCGGGACGTGGAGACCGGTCCTTGGATGAGACCATATACACTTGTATTCTTTGTCGTAGTAGGTGCTGGCACGAAAAAGATCGTTCCGTTTTCAATGACTCTAAGTGCCGAGCATACGTCCAGACAAAGAAATTTCAGCTCTCTAACGACAAATGGTGTCTCCATCAGGAAAAAAAATCATGCAACGGCCTTTGAACAAAAAAAAACTATATGTTTACCTTTCTGATTCCATACACCTGTGGGGGTCTTCGATCTCTTTCATCGTCTTCCTTCTGCTTCTTGTTGATGCATAAATCGTCGGGCTTCAAAGAGAATACTGATCTTGTGTGTATTATGACAAACTATTATTATACTCTCCGCTTGAAAAGAGGGAGGTTATATACAAATCGCTATGTCCGTCCGTCTGTCCGTCCGTCTGTTACGCTTTGAAGTACTCATCTAATATTTAACTTGTTATCCGCAATCGCCGTCGAAATAATAATGACCGGTCTGTAAGGGAGTTTTACTTCCCAAAAGCACCTGATCACTACTCTGGGTTTTCCAGGGATTGTCGTTTGATAACTTCATGCGGATTATGTTCAAAGGATTACATTGTACCTTGATACTAGAAACATTTTCGTGGAATGTATATGTTGTATCATATCTTCTTGCTTACTTTTTCGTTATGTCCATCAATATGAACCGTTTGTCTCTCGGCTTCTTCTTCGTTCTCCGAACAAACTTTCCCCTGGAATTTTAAAATACCAGACCTCTTTTGAAAAATTATCAATGATCGGTATAGAAATATAAGATTTTATGTAATTGACTTTTTGAAAAGAAATTGTTTTTAAATTTTTAAGTCTTTAAATTTGTTGCTGAAAGTAACAATGAAATTATAAATCCATATGTCATGTTCACTTTTTATTTTGTACTTTAAAAAAAATCAAATGATGGAGTTATTTCATACCACCTTCTCTTACCTTTGCTTCTACTACCTTTGACGGTACATATCCAGTTGACTTCAAAGATTGTTGATTTTGATATCCTCTTAGAATATCAATTATTTCATTCAATAGGTCACCTGCAACATATCAAAGAATGAAATGAATAAAAAAAGAACCTCATATTTTGCACCTTTACAATTTATTCAGATCCCCTTTCTTGTAGAAAATTAAGTCAAATGATGACTGACAATTATAATCCAAATTGTTGTGCGTTTATTTACACCGAATCATCTGGTTTTTTCTGTTTGTCCGACAAGAAAAACACGGCAGTAATTGTCAGTCGACTGGAAATACTTATTCCAGTTTTCAGAATTATATTCAATATGAAAACGATTTGTGTACTTTTATTCGTTAGTTGTATCCATTAAAAATAAAAACGCAGTTTTATTAAAAATGAGAACGATTACATACCCTAGTTAATAACATTCTCGAGCTCTCTTAAAATGTTAAAAATGATTAAAAAGAAACATTTCCTGTCAAAAATATACTTTGATATACAGATATGATAATGTGTTTTCTGACACATTTAAAATAACAACCCAAGAAAATGTTTACATCAAAGAATCTCTCAAGGATGAAGTAACACATATACGCTAACCCTTGACCATTGAGAGTATACGGATAATATTCTGCACTTTAATGCATCGTTAAATGGTATTTTTTTTTCCATAATTGGTGACAAAAATATTTTTTTGATATCGTGCGATTAGATAGTTTTCATGGCTTAGCTTTTTCACTCGGATGCACTTGTAAATTATATTATTTATATACTGTTTTATATATTTATGTTTTTTTACTAGACAGCATTTTCTTGCATCTTTGCATTTAAAAGACTGACAAAAAATTTATGTTTTGAGATGAAAAAGGAGGGAGGGAGAGAAAGCCAATTTCAAACGCATAAAAAAACACACACAACCTTGAATGGAAAAAATATCATATTAACACGTCTATCAGCATCTTTACGGAAGGATGGATTGATTGTATATTGTTTAACGTCCCTCTCGAGAATTTGTCACTCGAATGGGGACGCCACCGTATGCTGGTGAAGGGCTTCAAATATAGATCTATACTCATCCGTGACACGGGACCTACGTTTTTAATGTCATATTCGAAAGACCCGTGACTTTCACTTCTAGTGCCGAGCGCTTGGCGAAGGAACAGTCACTATTTCTAATTTTGTCTTAGGTATGACGTGGCGCCGCGAACGAGGATCGAACCCGGGCCTCCCGTTCACGAAGCGAACGCTCTACCACTAGGCTACCGTGACCAGATACAAATAAAACATAAAACAAGGAACATTGGATGAATATTAACCAATCTAGAAGAATAATATGATAAAAGCTGTAAAATATATACTTTTGTAAATATAAAAAATAACATTCTTGTAAAACTAATGAAACTTTGGAATATCAGTGGTTGTACAATTCCTTTTCCTGTCCTTTAAATACAATGCTGTAAATTTCTAAATACGAGGGCTTTTTGAAATTTATTTAAACAATTACATTTACTCCGGAAAGGACGGAGATAATTTCATGAAAATTCATCAACATCTTATAAAGAACGACTAAAACACTTATGCAAAATTTCTAATGCCTATGATAATTAGATAAGTTTCGTACTTAATATGCATATGTCTATCGACCCGGATCTGCATCGCTACGTCATTAAACTTACGTTAGCCGTAGATTTTTTCGCATGTGAAACGATCGGGAAGCGTTTAATACTCTTCCCTTTTTGTTATTAGTAAATAGAACGTTACAAAAATCAAACAGTCTCTTTTCTTAAACTATTCTTTAAAAATGCATGCTGTTGCTACCCGAGAGAAATTTTTAATTGTGAGAAAGGATGACTTAGAATCATGCAATGTCGATTTATGCAACGCTGGTTTAATACCGTAACGATATCAATACTGTACCTAATAATTCATGGTCGTCCAGAGCATTTAATTCTACTCTGGTTAAATTAATTGTAAAAAAAAAATGTATACCAATGAAATAACACACCCTAACACATTATTGTTTCTCGTTGTTATTGTTTTAGCAGGTCGTTTAGTTTTGAAAAGAGTTCTACATTGCGTTACACATAGTCTTAGGTATGCTGACTGCTCCGCCCTTGACGTAAAAATCCATTTTATCGTTGTTAGCAGATTTCTTTACCGCGCTTATTTTTTTTATGATCTCCATATTTCTGATATAAATTTTATCAACGTAGCACAACAAGAATTTGAAATAAAGCTGAAAAATTATACACTTAAACTGAATTATTTTCGCTCTCATTATGGATCCACTAAGAGTTAGATTTTTGGTGTTACATATGTTCAATATCTGATTCCGCGACTAACACTGGTACCCCTACTTTTGATATATTTAAATACCATTGTGGAGAAAATTTTTTATGTTTGTAAAATATTTATTGCTCTTTTTAATTTTTAGTGTATGTCAGACGTATATGCAAATTCTCACCGAAAGACGTTCATTAGACAGCAAAATATACTAAATGTCTAAATAATTTTCAAACAGCCCTCGTATATGCATGGAATTAATTATCGCATAATTTCTTGAGAAGCACCACACGCGAAATAAAATTACTTGCATTCATTTTTATGCTGCAGAAATCTATGTAAAATCTTTCGACCAACCGTCCATTCGCGAACAATTATTCTCGCGATTTTTCGTCCAAGAGCTCATTTGCGATTTAAAATACTCTCGAAAAATAAGGGAAATACTGTACCTTTTTGTGATATCCTACGTGTTGTTAGGGCGCCTGCAACACAGAGAGAGGACACTAATATGAAAGATAATTTATAGTACACGTCCATATCTGCATACGTGTTTTATCTAAACTTCAAGAATGCCTTTGCTTATTTGATTAAGTTTATATACGGGGTACATTTCTAAGGTCCAGTGATCAGAGAAACGATGTGCTCTGCTGTTAATGACCTTGAATTTAAATTAGAAATTTTTAGATGGCAACTAGATTTCTGACATTATTAACATACAACAAACTACTTAAAAATAAAATTATATGAAATATTTTCCTAAGATCAATGTTTATGTTTGTCTGAAAAACTGTAGATAAAACATTATTAAGTAAATAAACAGTGTTTGGATTTATATATTTCAAGATGGGTGTAAAGTTGTAGGTCTTTTAATTCGTTGAAATCAACGATAATAAATTCTGTGCGAAATCGTGATTGA